TAAATTCCCTCCCTCTCCATTCTCCTCTCGGGATTTTGGGCACGCATGCACACACACACGCGTGCCCAGCGTGAGTTTTAAGTCACCGGATCTGGGACTTGAACCATGGTCGACTACATAGCAGTCCAGCAACATAACCATTACATCATCTACTGGTCCACCATTTTGTTTTTTCTAAGAGAGATTTTTTTGCTATAGGTCACATGCACTCACTGGAAAAACAGAGAGAGGCAGACAGACATATAGTGAGAACTCACCCCCTTCCAGGGAGGATGGCCATGCTCTAATCCCTTCTCCTACATTCTCCTCTTGGAATTTTGGCCATGCACACGCACACATGCCCAGCATGACTTTAAGTCTCTGGGTCTGGGACTCGAACTGCAGTTGATTACATGGGAGTCCAGTGACATAACCATTATGGTATCTGCTGGTCCCATAGTTTTATTATGTTTTTAATTGTGCCTATAATTGTTTCATTACAAGTGTATGTATTACACTGTAACTCATACAATTTTGAATACATATCACTGGCCCAATTATAGGATCATCAAATTATGATTTTTAGTGTCAGGACCCTAATAATTGGCAATTTAAAAACAATGCCATAGGAACAACAACTACTACTACAAAGCTCCACAGATGATTCTAACAACCAGCCAGATTGGAAACCACTGACCTACCACAGTAAAGGGCCAATGTGAGGACATTTTGTTTACGTTCAATTTCATTTTCTTACTTGGGAGCCAAAATATTCTGACAAAGTTCTAGAATCATTCAGAAAACAAAACTCACACTCTAATAAAAAATAACAATTATGCTAGTCACTAATGGCAGAGTTTCTTTCAGAACAAGATTGTTGTTCTGCTAGGAAAACTATTTCAAATTGACTTTAAGATCTACTTCAGGTAAATTGTACTCAGACTGCAAATATATCATCCTTCAAAAAGCTGTTATAGTACAGTATTTATTAGGGTCTACAAATCTTGATTTATTAAATGGACAAAAGATTTGAAGTAGAAAAACTGAAAATGAACTTTTTCACTTCAAAACCTCAGTGTGCCAGGAAACGTACTGCTTCTCATATTAGTACTGGTTTTTCATGACAATCCTGAGTTGAAATCAAATACAGTAGCTGATACTGTTCTCCATCTTTAATCATGTCTTTTTCTGCTTAAAAATATGAATAAAACAGCCTTTGAAGTGAATAAGCACATGGTTGCTCTAAATAACCCAAATAATGCCCAATTTAATTCTGATTCACATTCAGTAGTTATGCAAATTTTTAGCATCTCATTTTCCTCATCTATAAAATGGAATAGTAATGGCATCAAACTCACAGTGGTACTGTAAGCAGTTAGACGATGAGAACAGGTAAACTGTCTTGAATGTGCCTGGTATACAGTGATATTGAGAAATATGTTTTGCCTTTTCTCTTTTTTTTTAGGTTTTTGCCAGAGGGCACATGTGCTTGCTAAAAAGAGAAAGAGGAAGGAAAAGTGAAAAATTACCCCTCAAAGGGGAGGGACACACAGCAGTCTCTTCTGCATTCTCCTCTTGGGATTTGGGGCACTCATGCATACACGCCCAGAGTGATTTTCCAGCCACCAGGTTGAGGACTCGAACTCATGTGAGAATCCAGCACCTTAACCATCATGCCACCTGCCAGCCTTGCTGGATAATAAGCTTTTCATAGTAACCACTCTTCTAAGCTTTTGGGTGATAAAGTCATAGTCTCAGCAATTAAAGGGCACCATTTGAACGTGGATTTGATTTTGAAGCTTATGCTTTTTACTTAATATACTGCCTGCCTCCTTCAGCCATTTCCAGCACACATTAACTCGGAGCCATTTTATATAAAGCACTGGTCTAGACATGGTGCAAATGAAAGAATGAAAAGGACAAGATCTGCCTCTAGATTACAGTATAGAAGAGAAAATTAGAAATGCATAAGAGGTGAAGGCCCATGCCATGAGAAGCATTTAGGGAAGACAGTATCAGTTGACGGATAGTGCAGGACTGGAGGTGGGGGGTCGGATAGTCACCACCATGCTGTAGGGCTTAGGTCAGCTACATGAATGAGGAGGTCATTCAAAAAAGTTCAACAGCAAGAGAAAACTTAACCTTATGAGGATAAGAAAACTTAACCTTCTGGATACATACACTCTAAGATCTCGTTCCCTTCTCTAACGCTGTTCAAGGGGAAGGTGCCCAGAAACACTATCACCAAATATCTACATCTGTAAGTATTGGTGTTCTCTCATCTTTCTGACCCTGAAGACAAGAGTGGAAATAATCCAAATATATGAGTTTATAGTTCCCTAAAGCTGTGTCAGGGGAATGACACCCCACCAAGTTGATAGCAAGAGCTCTGCAGTCCCACCTGGCCAGGTTAGCAGCAGCAGAAAGAGTTCTGTTGCCTGATGGTGACTGGGTAGCCATGGAGGAAAAAAATCCCTGGCATCCATCCAAAGTCCAGTAAGCAGATGGCTCTAGGCATAAAAACCATTATGGTGATTGGCACTTCATTGGGATGCTCTGAGCAAGGAAGGGACCTGGAAAATGTCCTTCTCTGGCTGCCCTTCCTTCTGAGGCATATTGATGGCACAGGATGGGGAAAGGTTCCTGACTGCTGCCAAGGGGAGCAGAAATGGCCTTTAAAATCCAGGTTACTGCAATCTCCTAGGGAGTCAATCTGGTACCTTCCAACAACCGGAGAGCACCTTAAAGATGTATGTGCTGATTTCCTTTAGGACGGATGATATTCAACATATTCCATTCAAAGGCGGCTCAGAGAACAATAATGGATAAAGCTCCATGACACTAGGGGGAGGAGGGGGGTCAGTCCTCTGTAGCCAGGCCTTGCATGGCCGGTGACTGTTGTATGTGCTTTGCACTGGGTGACTAGGTTTGTTAGTTTAAAGGGTCATTACAGTAACAACCTACTTTGTAGAGGTCTTATCACTTGGGATATTTTAGAAGTTGAAGAATATCCATTTCTTCCCTAAAATTTATAAACCTGCCCTATTTATGATATTTCCTAACATTTCAAAAAGATATCTTAACTAATTGGTGTTAAGACATTTATCAATTACCTCACAATAGATACACACACACACACACACACACATGCACACACACACTGCACATTGCTTAGTCTCAATCTGCCTTTGCATAAACTTCTTTGAATCAATCAAAAATAAAATATAATGTCAAACTTCTGGCCTCTATCCCATGATCTTATCAACTCAATTTCAGTAAAAACATCTACCTATCAAAAGTCATTCTGATATGAGATGGACATTGTTTCCGTATGAATTATATCTATATGACATTTAACTATTTTTCACTTTCAAATTAGTTTTTAAATATAGTTAAGAACTACTCTTTCCTGAACAAAACAGTAATGAAATATCATAGCCAAAGTACTCAAGAGTCTTTTGACTTTGATTGCTCTTTAAATAAATTACAGAGGCTGTGCTGTTTTATAAAGAAGTTATTTTAGAGTAGCAAAATCTGGTTGCTATTTTTCAATGCTTGAAACAGTTTAATATAAAGGTTTCTGATTATTTAATAATCTACCCATATTACCCAATAAATGACTAATTTGGAGAGGGGTCTGATCATAACTTTGATCAAAACAAAGAAGCTGTAATAAGTTATTGGTCACAGAAATTATACTATATTATACCAAATTACATTATGTTAACAAGTTAACACTTGATCATGTAAATGTATACCTTTATAAAATACTATGTGAAGTACTATTTTAGTTAAGAAGGACAACTTCATAATTAGGGAATATGTTAGCAATATGCTATTATCAAAATTGAGAGTATAAGAAACCATTTTAAATAAAAAGTGACTAGCATACAAATAAAATAAAACATAGGGGATCAGGGTGAGTGCAGATGAAGTCTAGCCAAGAAATAAAAAGTCAACAAACTCGTGTATTTATACACAGCTACTTTTCAAAAGTATATGATAAAAATTTTTCTTCCCAGGAAAGTAAGTAAAATTGCTAGATACTAAGGGTTTTTTTTAAATTATTTCATCTAATTTCCATAATGTGGAAAGGACTTGGCCCCATTCTTAAGGAATACATTTTCTAACTCTAGTCTCTTACTGCACCCATCTCAGTGAGTAACCCACAACTGCTTAGGCATGGCCTGGGGTCTTGGCTCTATTTCTTTCCTTCAGCTGCATCAGTAGATATAAGGTAGTCTCTGGCCTTCCCTCATAATAGCTTGGGTTAGCTGTGCAGAACTAACTCTTAAGGACAGGCCCCAAATTATAGATTTGATGAGAGAAGGAGTGGTTAAATCTCGGAATCCATCTTTCCAAATTCTTTAAGATTCACTACACCTTTCTCCCCATCTTTATAAATCTAATGGAATCAAGTAGATCTCAGGTTGCTGGCTTACGGAGCTGTCCTTTTATTTCACTTACCCTTTCTCTGATTATTGATGCTACATAACTGGTTAAAGGGGATTTGTGTCTAAACCTCTCAGAGAAATATTGATCTGCAGTGTGTAAAGTTTGAGCTCATTTTAATATGACCCATTTGAAATATGTTTTGATTTTTAATCATTAAGCCCAATTTTCTGGGAAAGGTATCTGAGTAAAATAAAATCCTTCTAAGAATTCACATGCAAATTCATTGCAAGTAAATTTCTCCTGAGTAAACACAGAGCATGCTCTAAAGAAGCACTCTATCCATATTAAGACACAATTATTTCAAATCAATCATAAAATACAAATTTTGAAAAATTAGCTCGTAATCTAGCATTTAAATATGAGTACCTCCAGCCAAGATCTTCTCTTCCAACTCTGCCATTTGTTTCTTATAGGCCCTTAAAGCTGCTTCTTTGAAAGATGGTCGAATTCTCTTTGGCTTTGTGATTTCTACTGGTGGTTCAGGGATGTTTTGGTTTTCATCTTCTCTTATTTCCATTTCAGCTGATGTTTCACTTAAGGGTTCCAATCCTCCTTCACTAACAACATCATCTGCCTGTCCATCATAACCCTCATCTTGTGGGGTTTCATAGGGTGTTGCATATGACGGGTGATCGTATTCCTGCATTTGTTCATCTAGTTCAGTAATACTAGTCCTATTTTCTAACTTAGCAAGGACTTGTTCCATAACTTCAACATAATCTGTTTCATTATCAGCCACCGGTTCACTATAGTCCTCCTCATCCTCTGCTTTGTAGTAATAGGGTTCCGTGTAGACATCAGAGTCAAGTGTAGTACTTGACTCATTTGCAGTTGACTGGGATAATGTCCGAAATCTCCCCATTAAGGAAGAGCCACTGTCCTCATATCCACTGAGACTCTGTGTGCTTTTGTTCCATACTACTTCCAAGGCTGATTTAGCCCTCTGCAGTGTAGATCCAAATTTGGGGAAGCTGAAAGTCTTATCAGAAAGATCAATGCTTAATCGACTGTGCCATGATTTGGGTGGAACATCCTCGGAATCATCACTTTGCAATTCACTTTGACTTCTATACATCATGGACAACTGGTTTTGATTTTGGTACAACTCTTTAGAATTAGTTTCCTGATAAGAATCATATGGGCCAACCCACTGACCCTGTGGCTCATTGTCCAAGCCAGGGCATGGAGATGAGTTATCATCCTGGGTTAAGTCATAGCTCTCTGAGTCATCCTGAAGGTCACTGTGGCACTTTCCCAAGTCTTCTAGATCTTTATTATAAACACTCAGCTGTTGGTCAGACAGACTGTTTGTGTCATCATCAAATGCTTCCTGAGTAGATGAATCCAAGCCTAAATCAGCTCCTTGGTCTACCTGATTCCATTCCTTCCATGGAGAAAGATCCTCATGTAAAGAGAGCTGAGAATCACTGTAATGACTTCGATCTCCGGATGCACACACCATGCTATTGCTCATACCACTATCCACAGTCTCTGTGTTCTCAATTTCACTCTGTCCCTGAATGCCCTGGCCGCTCCCATTCAAACGCTGTTCCTTAGGACTATCATACAAGGTAAGCACACCCTCCTGTTTCCTCTGCCAAAGTTCCCGGTCTGAAGATGACAGGAGGGAGCTTCCATTAGTTCTAATGAAAAACTGACTTTCAGAAAAATCCTCCGAGTAAGATTGACACAATTTGGAAAAGTCAGATTCAGAACGACTAAGTTTAGCAGTGAAAAAATCACTCTGTGAATGCCAGAGAGGGGTCGCATCTGCACGATGAGCTGTGGTTTGTCTTTCCAAGTTACCAGATTCTGGCAACTGTGAGGAAATTTTATCATAATCCGATTTATTTGAAATTCTGCTGCTATTCGCACTTTTATTCTTGGATTTAGCACTGTGTGATTTTGAGCTTGCTTTCGAAGTACTTCCCTTTGTTGGAAACTCTGACTTGGAAAGCACAGCATAACTGTTTCTATTGAGGTCCGATTCCAACTCACCATCACTGTCATCGGGTGACTGCCAGTGGTTCTTCTTGATTTTGGGCTCTGGAGTGGACAATTTTATATCCATGCTCTCATACGTCTGAGAGGATGGTATTCCTTTTTCCTTTCTTTCTCTGACGTCATGAGTCAGAATATCTGTTGAGATTCCAATGCCTGTTCCTTTGAGTTTATATGATTTTTTTAAGACAGAATCTCTTTGCTGAGGGGTTTCAAAGTACACAAGTATGGGTCGAGGCTTTGCATTTGGGCAGTCCCTTTGGTGTCCTATCCTTTGAGCAAATTCAATTTTAATAGCATTTGGTGCATCTGAAAAACCCATTTTATCAATTAGAATTTGGTATACCACACTTTCAGTGTATTCAAATCTTTCTTCAGGCACGTTTAAAAATCTCAAGCTTGCCTTGTTACCTACATGACCCAGATGTTTAATATAATCATGGATGTCTCTGGTTTCCCTCCGAGACTGGACAAACCCTGTCCGTAGCTGTTCGATTTCGCTTTGTACAACCTCTACACTGCTGGAGATCTCATCAATAGAGTGCTTGAGAGCATTAACGTGCCCTCGAAGTTCACAAAGTTCTGTTTCGATCTGACTGATTCCCTGAAGTTCTTTAAAGATCATTTCCATGACATCGTGTGTTTGGCTAATGCAGCCAGAGGAACTGAACCCTGGCTCCAGAGCATTTGTCTTTGGGTTTCGGGCCGTTCTGTCCAAAGACTTGCTTCTTATTCCCCAGGTTTTCTTCATGGTGCTCAGCTCTGAATCTGAGGAAACACACTCTTGACTCTTTTTCCATTTCCTCAGCTTTCTCAAAGCACCTAGTTTTAAGCTATGGAGAGTGCGTTCTCCATCAGAACTACCCTCAGAGGGTGCGAGGCTGCTTGAACTCTTTCTATTGCGTCTAACAGGCATCGTGTGGGTTGATGGTACCTGGTTTTCTGTACTACTCTTTAGTTCATTTAATGACTCTGAGTAAGAACTCTCGATTGAAGATAGCTCTTGAAGCAGATCCTCATTATCACTGTTGATTACACTAATATTCTTTTGAAGGCCATTGGCAATAGCTACTCTGTAACTAAAGGTCGGTGAGAGAGAAAATTCCTTATTAGCCCCGTCTTCTTCTGTCGATAAGTTGCGAGTGGAAGAACACTTTGCAATCTTCTTTACAGTGCTTTTCAGGGTGTTGGAAAATTTGGGGGGTTTGATCTGGCCAACAGTAGAAAAGTCTTGATCTTTTTTCTGGGGATGATTCTCCTTTTTTTTGGTTGTATTTCCCAATTTCTTTGTAAACATTCCTTTGCAAAGCTTATGTAGGTAAGGTAAAATCAAGCTCTTGAAAAGATTAGCTACCATGGAGAGCAATTAGTGCAAGCTTTTCTTCCCCCAAAAGTAAGCAAAGTATTAAGATGACAATCTGTATCTCCAGGGCAGGCATCACTGTTCAGATGTTGTGGGAATCATCGATGGCAACAGGAAGGGCAGCCATGGTGCTGCCACAATGGTGATGATCTGTGAAAATCGGAAGAAAGCTCCATTTATCAAAGACATTCTCTCCTGGAGGAGGGATTTCCTTAATCTCTCTCATTTCCGCATAATTTCATGCAGTGTCTGAAAAAAAAAAAGGAGGGGGGAATGTTAAAAATGAACTATTATAATTCAGTTCTAGAGTTAACCCACTTCTAACATTTTTAAAAATTATAATATAATTATGAAAAATTGCAAAGAGAATAGGAGAATATATGAATTTTTAAAACTAGTTAAAACAAATCAGTATCAATAACTATTACGTTGTCTGGAAAATCATAGTATTTTTCTATGTTTTTCTATACAAAAATGTGTCATTACTTTCTGGATGACCCAATACATTTAAATTTATTGTTTCCCCAAATCACTTAAATGTATATACAATTAAAATAGAATTAAAAGGAACCAGTAAATGGCATAAAAATTACATCACTGCACTCCCACAGAGTCGACCTTGATTTAAGTCCTGAGCCCAGCACCTAAAACTCACACTGGGTATATGTGCATGTATGCCCAAAATCTCCAAGAGGAGAACGGAGGAGAAGAGATTGCAGTGTGACTATCCCTGCTGGGGAATGATTTTTCGCTTTCTGTCTCTCTGTCTCTCTGGTGAGTGTACATGTCCTATAGCAAAAATCTCTCTTTAAAAAAATAGTAATTAAAAATAATCATGATGGGAACCAGCAGTTAGCGTAATGGCTATGTCGCTGGCCTCCCACGTAGTCGACCGCGGTTCGTGTCCCAGACCCGGTGGCTTAAAACTCACGCCGGGCGCGTGTGCGTGCATGCCCAAGATCCCGAGAGGAGAATGGAGGAGAAGGGACTGCGGCGTGACCATGCCCCCTGGGGGATGATTTCTCGCTTTCTGTCTCTATGTCTCTCTCTGTCTGTCTGGCGAGCGCACGCGCCCTACAGTGAAAATCTCTCCAAAAAAAAAAAAATCATGATTATTTAGAAAATATTGAGTAAAACTACAGGCAACTTATACACCCATATTAACTTCATAATATTTGGCCTTTATTTCCTTTCCTAAAATTGTGATTGTGTATTTCTTATTTTTGTATAAGTAAACACCCCAGATATTTTAAACTCACCAAATTAATATTATTCTCATTTTTTAACTTACTTTTCTAGGTACTCAATGATGAAGAATTTCATTTTTTTTTGTTTGTGGTTTTTGAATTGACTTTACAATTTTATCACTGAAATGTATCCAAGAATAACAGTAACAGCCAGAAGACTTTGTTGGTATTAGAATAGGTATTGGGGTCAATAAATAATCTATTTACTTCATTTGAAAAAGGATCATAAGAGCCAGAAGGAGGCATAGTGGTTAAGGTGTTGGACTCCCACAAGGCCAATCACAGTTCAAGTCCCAGACCTGGCAGTTTGCTTTCTCACTTTCCCTCTCTCTGCGTCTCTGTCTCTCTCTCTCTCTCTCTCTCTCTCTCTGTTGAGCACACATGCCCTACAGCAAATCAAATAATGATAAAATTAAATAAATAATTATGTTTTTAAAGCTGCATCAGAAACTTTATATTGTTTTAGGAACCTGCAGACTCTGTCAGCTCTCTCCAGTTGGAAATCTGCCAATTTCACTTCCACCATTGCTCTGTGAGGACTTGGGGAGTAGATACTCTGGCCAGGAGCCAAGCCTCACAAGGGACCAGAGAGTGTAAATGAGAATGGGAGAAGAGTTAGAGGTGAGAAAGACTGACTTCAAGAAGCCCATGTCTTCTTGGGTTTCCACAATTGTCAGAGAATAATTTCTCCTTGAAAAAAGGGTGTAATTCATTCAGAATTATAAACTAAAACCTATTTTCTACTAATAATATCAAGAAATTGACCCTGAAATAAGTTTAAAAAGCATAATATTTATTACACTCCTAGGTGACCTCCCCTTGTGACGAAAAGACCTAGGAAAGTTGCATTGGAGTAGGGTATATAATAGACTCGTAACATTTGTTGGATAAATGACTATATAAAAACAAATATGTGGACAAGCAAATTTATAAATTAATAGATGATCAACAAATGCTCCAAAAAGCTACGGGCTAAACTAGACCTTAAATAATACAGAGAAAGAATCTTAGTGTAAGAGACTTTTATGCACTATCCAAAGACGAAGTATCTTCCTCCTCCCAGAGATAAAGGCCTATGATGAGACTGGGACTAAGGGATGGGAAAAATGGAAACAGAATATAACAGTTTTGAAGTTGAGGTTCAGAAGCTCCATTTTATGAGAAAGCTCTAATGGTTATTGGCTTTCCTTATGGTCCCTTGACCTGTACTACCTGCACTGGAATCCCTGCTGATCTTGAAAAAGTTATTTCTCTACTGCCTTAGCTTGTATATTTATTACATTGAGAGAGAAATATCATCTCCTTACAGGGACCATTGTATAGTTTAAATGAGTTAACACATGGAAAATCCTTAGAACATTGTCCAGAACATAGCAAAGCCTAGCCAGTATGAGTTATCCTTAGTACCCAAAAAGGTACTGAAAAGATACAAGCAGTCACAGAAGATGAAGCACATGGAATCTGACGTGAAATTTAAGGGAGAAGTGGGATGCAACCCAGGAATCTTGCTAGACTGGAAGATGAGATGAGCAAAGACATTCTAAAGAAGCAGTTGGAAAAGCAAGGGAAGATGCTTTCCTTCTTTTCTGACACTGAAATCTCATCATCCCCCTTACTGAATTCCTGTGAGGTGTGTGTATGATTAAACAATCACATCAAAAGACCACAGCTGCCTCAGAGAAAGGTTCGGTGAGTGTAATCTTCCCCTGTGCAATTTCCTTCAAACAATAGACCGAGATAGGGATGGTAGCTGATGCCTATTTACTCGAGAAACAAATTACCCCACAAATCCTCACATAAACTCTTAGAAGAAGAAATTATTATGCCTATTATACAGGCATAATAGGTTCAAACAGATAAAGAGAAATAGCCAACAATTGCACAGCTACATAAAACGATAGATTGGTCCTTAGACCTACAATCTGTGAAGCAATCATTTTCATGCAAAGTGAATACTATCAGTGATGACTGACATGCCTCCTTACACTCACTGCATATAAACCCACATACGTACTGTCCTCTCTGAATTTCACTTTTTAAAAAAAAAAAAAAAATCTTCTCTTTAGGGAACCAGCAGTTAGTGTAATGGCTATGTCGCTGGACTCCCACGTAGTCGACCATGGTTCGCGTCCCGGACCCGGTGGCTTAAAACTCACGCCGGGCACGTGTGCGTGCGTGCCCAAGATCCTGAGAGGAGAATGGAGGAGAAGGGATTGCGGCGTGACCATCCCCCCTGGGGGGAAATTTCTCGCTTTCTGTCTCTGCCTCACTCTGTCTGTCTGGCGAGCGCACACACCCTATAGCGAAAACCTCTCCAAAAAAAAAAAAAAAAAATCTTCTCTTTAAAAGAATTATTTATCATCATTATTATGTTTTAATTTGCTGCAGGGTACACACCCTCACCAAAAAAAGAGAGAGAGGGAGAGAGGGAGGGAGAAAGTGAGAAAGCAAGCCACCAGGTCCAGGACTCAAACCGTGGTTTGCTATGTAAGAGTCCATTGCCTTACCACCACACCACCTGCTGGCCCCCAAAGGAAATATCTTAAGTCTGGGCAAAATCAATGTGGAGTGGCTGGAAGACATAAAGGGGACCAAGATACCACCTGACTGTCAACCATTTGAATTTAAAAGCTTGTACTTACCCTCCAGTTGTGTTACCTTTCACTACACAGCCACACATTCTTTGCAGAAATACGCTTAAGATTTAAGGTTTGAGGAAAGAAAACTTCGAGAAAGATGAAAGCACTTGGCTAGTGGCCAGAGGATGGTGTGGTGGTTAGAGTGCTGGACACTCCCACATGGCTGACAACAGTTTGAGTCCTGGAATCAGTGGCTTGCTTTCTCACCTTCTCTCTCTTTGTCTGTCTCTCTCTCGTCAAATTATAAATAAATAAATAAATAAATAAATAAATAAAGTTAAATAAATAATTCTTTTAAAAAAAATGGCTCTTTTTGATAAAGGAAGCCTTAATAATAACATTTAATTCTTACTATGTGCCAAGCACTTTGCATACAATGTACTAAAATGACCTTATCTGATTTCTCTAATAATTGTAAGATGTAAGTATTAATATTTTCCAATAAGGAAGCTGAGGTTTAGGGTTTTCTGAAACTCGCTTTAGGTCTATGCAGTTAACAAGCAACATGGCCCCTGATTTGGACAAGTGTATGAACTCTGAAACTCATACTAGTGTTGAGGGAGGAATAAAATAGTTTTGCACACATGTTAAAAACTTCGTTTTGTGAGACAAATATATAATATAAAGCTAGACAAATAAACTTTTTTAAAAAATGGCCTTACCAACCACATTGTAAGGCACTGCTGCATAACACTGAAGCCATTTGGGAGGCCCTCAGTCCAGATCCTGGGTCGACCTGAATAAGCCAGTTACATCCATGGTGCATCATGATCCTGGCTGACTGAGGTGGGGACAGATCATCGTGTGGTGAGACCTTATCAAGGGTATACATCTCTGTCTACTTGTTAGTCTGTCTCCTTCTTTCTGTCTCTCTCAATAAATAAATGGATTTATGAAATTAAAAAAAAAAACTGGATGCCTTCATGGGATAAAGGAGCTAACGAACCTTTAAATATTCAGCAGTTAATTGTTAAATCATGACCAGAAATAAGTCAAAACATTTTCATATCTATAAGCAATTTCATGTTCCTATTAAATGTAGTACAGTAGATGAGTCAGAAATTTAGTGGTTATTATTTGAGAAGATGCAGACAACAATGAGACAGGTAGTTCCTGTCATGATACAGCCCAACTAGCTCACCTCCCCAGATCCTGCACTCTGGACCCAAGAAAGATGCTTTTCTCACTGACCTTTGCCCTGATTTCCTGGAGTCTTGTCTAAGCTACAAATCTCATGCTTGTTACCTGTATTCCTGAGTTTCTACCATCTGCCTAATCCTAGACAAGGGTAACCTCACTGTTTCTGCTCTTTTATTTGCACTGAGTTTGTATCAAACATCCTGAACTTATTAATCTGTTAG